GCAAGTCAGGTCTGCTAGAGTACACATTATCTATGAATTCCACACAGTCATGCTCAGTCTCTCTTCCATTGGCTGGAAGGATTGTGGCTGGGTCCAAGGTGTTCTTACATTAAAGAGTCAATGCCCTTGTCTCCAATCCTTACTCGGACCATGAAATCTCCGGGGGCAGCTGAGTCTGGTCCCCTTCAGTCTAGCAGGGCCTCTCCCACTAAGTTATAGAGGGCTCCCTGCTCTTCCGGTTCTGTGGCCTCTCTCCCAGAATTTTTCACACTTCCTTGCCTCTGGGGACACTCATTCTTCCAATCCCTGTCTCTCGGCCACTAACACACTGATCCCTTCGCAAGGGGGGGCCCCTTTTACCTTAGGTCCTCTACTTCCTCGCACTCCTCGACCTTGTCCTCTTTGAAAGGGAGGGGGTCCTCCCCTCATGCCTTTCAGAGCCGAGGCTATGAGACTGGCCCTCCGCTTCAGCTTCATGCGACTGCCCTCTTCCCTACAGCTTATTGCTTCCCGATTCACAAAAACCTTTTGTGCTATTTCGAGGAGTTGCAAAGTGTTCATACCTGCAAACTCCTCCTACTTCTGCAGTTTTCGCCGTATATCCTCAGCACTTTGGCTAACTAGGGCGATATTAACCATCCTCTGATTCCCAGGGCTTTCGAGGTCAAAGGGAGTGTACATCTGAAACGCTTCACATAACCTCACATAAAACTGGCCTGGACTCTAAGTCTTTCCTTGGAGAACCTCATTTACTTGAGCCAAATTGGTAGTTTTCTATGTCCCTTTCTCAGCCTCTGCAACAATGTCTCTCAGTACCAAATCTGCCAATACCTTCAGCACCACTACTCTAGGTTGGGTGGAAAGCATTTTCCTTTCCTGTCCCTCTGTTACTAGCACTGTCGTGACCTGCCCTCTCAACCAAGGTGGTGGGTTTACTACTAGCTGTAGCCAGGTATCTATGTACGGAAACTACTCAGTGTGACCCCCCTTTCCAGTAACTCTGTGCCATACCTCAGACACTAGGGATCTCTCTAAACTTTCGTCCAGCGGCCATCCAATCCCAAAGGGGGACATTCCTGCTCACAAAGACTCCTTAGCTTTCTTGGAGTCACCTTTCATAGTCAAAGGGACTAGCTTTCATAGTCACCTGTAAATCCCTCCTTAGTCAGTGGGGTGGACTTCCTTTGCTTGTTCCCCATTTCCACCCAAGGTCCCTGCCGAAACGCACACTCACACCACACTCTTGGCCAGTCTCTTAGTCCCATTTAACAGTTCAATTTACTAAAACAGTTATGACTCATTTTATGAGTTGATGGTACAGACAAGGCTGAGATCTAATACAGGTGGGCCACAACCTCTTTTTTTCCTTTGAATTATTTTTCTCTCTCTCCAATTTCTCTCTTTATTAAAGACAAATTACAGTAGAACCTACTCAGCTGCCAAAATAAACTGTACCTTCAGTATACTGATTATTTGCATAAAGC